TTTTTATTGATTTGAGCTGACTATCCTTCGGACTTTATATTCACGCACAATCCTCAGTTCATTGATTCAACCGTACACACACCAACGTGAGTCTTCGTTACACGCCTAAAGGTAATTTGATTTAAAAGTTTTATTAACTGGTAACTACCATCACTGACGATGAAAACGATGAAGTACAACTATTTTGTTGAGGAAGAACGAATTCCTAATTGGCATTCTAATCTAGTTAGCTTAGCAACGGAAAAATTGTTCAGGCAAAGCAACAAACCTGTTATTGCAGGAATATTTCTGAAAAAAAGTGGCTTGATTAATTTGGTGAACCATCGACACAAATGCATTCCAATTTTCAAGTTCGTCTCGTTCTCTCTGACTAACTGGGTACTATAGGTTACCAGAACAAGAAGATGTCGGACTGAGTGATTAGATGACTGACCGAATTACGTCACTATGAAGTTTCTTTTATTACTATTTTGTTTTCTCAAAGTCAGAATTCGTACTGGTTTGAATATTCATCCATATTTTACTCACACAATTTGACAATCGTGGCCGAAGTGATCGATGGAACCCGGTCCAAATATGTCTATTTTAGTTTGACCAACTTTGTCGGGCAGATAACGTTCCGCACAAGATTGTCAGAGCGGAGTAAATTTAAACTCAATTTGACTTGACAAAAAAAACAATCAATCATAAATCAATAGTTGTTTGTGGTTCCAGCAAAATCCATCTATTCCAAACGTCTACAAACAACGCGGAGGGTCAGTATTTTACAAATCGGGTTTTAATGTTTGATTTATTCCATCATTCCTGAGATAGCTTTGCTTATCAACGCAAAGTATGTAATAAATGTTATTATTTATTTGTTTATTTTTGCATTTCAAGGAGAAAACGGAAACTAGAATTGTGATCCCCATACCCGATTTCAATGGAAAATCGCTACTTCTCTCCTCTCCAATTAGACAGATTCTCATTCCAGGTTGCAAAGGAATTTCAACCCTATAAAGATGTATACATCCAGCATTGCGACTTGGGCTGTGGTAGCCCAGTGATAGAGTCACCAAATCACCATCCCCACCAACACCAGCGCCTGACTTTTCCCATCATATGTATTCAGTGACAGCTCTTTGACTGGGCGGCTCCCCCTTCCTGAAAATTACATAGTTGTATATTCAATAAAAGGAAGTAAAATGAAAAAAATGAAGGGAACTGCTGCTGACAATGTCTGACGTACGGGAATTGAATTTCGAAACTGAACTGCTACTCGAACGTGATTACTTGGGTGGTGTTGGCCCCAGTGGTAACGTCATAAATTATCTGTGTGTGTTCGAATCCAACCACCAACGTCTATCTTTCCCCGTTATGTGTGCTGTATGGCAGCTCTTTGATTGGCCCTTTTCCCGCTTACTGAAAAATTGTATCTTCGTATACTCAATGAAAGGAAATAAAGTGATAAAAAATAAAAGATATTTCATCTCACAATTGTAATATAAACATGAAATGAAGCACACATAGTTCAGCAAATTGGAGCTCACGGGATTAACTTGAATCCGATAGTGAGCTCAAGTTTTGTCAAGTAACCACGCACGATATGACGTTATCATCCCTAGGCCATAGACGTTCATGCCAGCCCTTCTAGCACGTACGCATGCACGTATCATTCTCTCTCGCATACACTCAAACACACACACACACATACTTAACTCACCTTTGATACTGTTTTCTTTGTTTTCCATCGGTCCTTTTTGTCTCCCCGTCCCTCCTCACCTATCACAAGTTACATAGTCCTCATTCACTGTGACACACTCTATACATCCCTTTCTCTTGACTTATCTTTATTTTTTCCCCCTCTCCGTCTCTCTCTCTCTCTCTCTCTCTCTCGTTATCTCACCTTTGCGTGACATGCCTGTGCATCGTTTGCGCACGCACGCACGCACGCACACACACACACACACGTGCGCGCACATTTCGTCTTCTTCAAAGGGACAATGCCTCCTAGGGGTACGCGTGAGCAGGATGTCAGGCAGGCAAGATAGGCCATGCTTATTGTTCGCTCAACAACAACAACAACAACGAAGTCAGTGTAGCCCAACTGCATGGCATTGCGAAATTGGGAGAGAAATCAATCGGGAATTGTTGTTCTTAACGTATAGGGCACATTTGTCACAACACAAAAGGCTTGTCAGAACTAAGTGGAAATGAATCTCTCCCCCCCCTTCGGGATAAAAGTACAAGTGCACACACACACACACGGGTGCGGACGCGCGCGTCACAGAGCCGAGTTACATGAACAACCTCGGATGTATGTACATCGTGTAATGCGTGCTCGTCTCTCTCTCTCTCTCTCTCTAATCTGCGCTGTATGTCCGAAATCGGACTTTATTCACATCTGATGCACGTAAGATGATGGCTGGTTTCGAATGTATGACGTAACTGAGCTCCCCCATACACTCCCGTTGAATCGTGCCCGGGTTATGTGGATTCGTGACCTATGTGTACCGACCGATTGCATCAGCCTTCACATACGAGTAATGGGTGTGCCGTTCAACCTACAACAGATGACAAATAAGGGACGGATAAGGAACTAAAACTCATACTCATAAATTTTGGTGACCAACACTATCATTTTCATTTCCGATTTGTCTATCAACCGTTGGATAGTTGATACCTGGTCATTTCTCATTCTATTACAATGACATCATCGATTTGTTGTGTGAAATTTTCAACAGATGCATTGATGTGTGTATATGTAAAAGCATCACATTCCACACTTGGATAACAGCACTCCTGACTCTGCCCGGGTCGATGCGCAACAGGGAGAGTGTGAGGAGGGGGAGGGGTTTGCCTATTGATTCCACGATTATTTAGTCAAGTAAAGAAACCATTCCCCAGGATAAATGAAAACGTCTCATCTCTCGTACATGATAGTTATCCTGGTTAGGGCAGTATTTGGAACCCACATCATTCCATCATCAGCACAAATTCTCACATTGGATCGATATCTTTGTGTGAGACTGTGTGAACTGTGTGAACTCCTTCTGCTCCTCCTCCTTGATGGTAATGCACAATCAAGTATTCGATACCTCCTTCTAAGAGAGCTAATTTCACATGGGATCAATACATCGAGAATTCCATAAATCTATCGAGACTATTTCAATAAAGAAAATTGATCATCTGAATAATAAAGTCATGGAGACCAGGAAATCAGGAACCAGTGAATTAAACATTGATAATTACCGAATTCATCCGTTGAATATCACCCACTGTGTGACCCAACCGACTAAATTGGGGAATTGGACACGGAGCCGAGAAGATAGAAAGCAAATCCAATGCCCATTTGACAACCGGGTAGTTGATTAGACCACTGTTGCGGAGAAGAAACCGGTTTACATATCGCTACTGTTCAACGGTGACACAACTGCCGATATGGTGATACGAAAGTTGATTACAGTAGTAGAAAAAAAAACATTCCTCACACCAAAACTGCATACTGTTTTTCGTCTCCAGGCCACTTCTGTGTTTTCAGCTCAGGGGCAAGGCATATTGGTCGTGCGAGTAGACGTCTATCTGAACTAGTCCGTGAGCACCACCCGACCTGGTTGAACAGTTTAGTAATTAGGACCAGCTCAATCGTTTCACACCTAGTGGAATCAAATCACGTGGTTAATGTGTCCGAGAAGTTTCGACCCCTCTACTTGGTTCATACACCTACATACCCTCCCTACCCCCCCCCCTATACTCTCAGAAACAGATCGTAAGAACACACTCGGTCTACCATGGCCAACACCACACACCGCACAACGNCCCCCCCCCCCCGCTTGTGCACAGTTTCATATAAATTGTGATGTGTTAGCCTGTAGAAGAATCACTGCAAAACGAGCTTGTTTGCTACTCGGTGTTTTCTCACAAATAGACCATTTCACTTTGATCATATTACACAGGGCATGGAAAACTATCCACCTGGCAAATATTCGCAACCCGAATATTTTGAAACTTGTTCAGTGCGTCCCTGATTTCCATCTCGGCTTATCATAATCCTCTGGGCTAATAGCCACACTGTGTTCTTCTCCTTTTGTCGAATATAGTTAATATGACTGAACCTGATCAATGAGATTTTACTCTTAAAACCATTATTAGTCGTGTCTCTTCCATTCCTGTGAATGAATTAGCTGTAAATCTTTCAGAGTATCACGTAACTTCCTGTGTGAGATTTGCCGAGAGGATCCTCACAGATCCGGACCACCCATTGCATGCAGAACTGACACGTTGTCATTCCCATCATTCAACAAGCTCCCGATTCCGCCAAATTTCATGTGGAATTAATGCATACCGCAATTCATCCATACCGTATCTTGCTCGTCTACTCATAAGCAAACAGCGGACAATGAGTGAACTTTGTCTCAACCTTGGATTATGAATGTCTCCATGCCTGCGAAAACTTTTCTCCCCGTTGATTATGTACACTGTGACGGTTAACTTGTATGATTTTTTAACTGAAATGTGAGCTCTAGTGCTTGCAAAAGTTATACACAATACAATACAAAATAAGGCGAACCAAGGTCCACAAGCTTTTGAACCTGTGAATTACGTGACAACAAACAGAAAACCGTGGGTCTCGAACATCGTCGCCTAAATTGTATAAGCTATGTGACTTGTATTTCACAATGATCATTCACATTGACAATGATAAATCGCATAGCTTTCGTTCAGCCCAAAAATTGTGCATTGTTTTCTTTTGTACTATAGTTCAGAATGCAAAAAACCTGATCAAGTGATGTCCTAGGATACATAGATTTTAGTGTAAAATTTGGCTTCCTACCTCTCGTGCGGACGGAATTCCAGCTAGACAATGAAACATATGTGGCTTTGACAGAAGATCAGTTATCAAGTGCTGCGTTATATCAAATTAACAGGGATTCGATGTTCCTTTATTTTCCAGCTCGCAGTTGTACTGCAGACCGCCACTCTCATTCACATCCGGATCAATCAGACCGGGCCGAAAAACCATGACAACCGTACGGGCCAAGAGTGCACGTCCTGCACCGATCAGTATCAAACAGACAGACCTAAACTATCCGGATGATTCACCCATCCTATCCCCAACCGTCACCGCATCATCCATTCAAACCGGACTGGTGAGCAGTGGCAGCTCGGGTTCGGTGAGTATGGCCAGTAAACAGGATGAGGTTGTCCGTGTGGTATTTCTTGGTTCCGCCCGAGTCGGCAAATCATCGATCATCAATCGGTTTTTACATAACCGTTTCGATGTGAAATACACACCGACTGTGGAAGATATGCACTCGAAAAAGTACATAGTTCGTGATCATCTAGTCCGTTTGGCTCTGGTCGATACGGCCGGTAGTTTTGATTTCCCAGCCATGTTACGTTTGTGTATTGCCAAGGCTAGCGCGTTTGTCATTGTGTTCTCGCATGACAATGCCGATTCCCTGGCTCAAGCTGGAATCCTGTTAAATCAGATCAAATCACAACGGAAAGACTATGCTCCAATGACCAATATTTTACCCACGCATGAATTTGAACGTCTAAAACTGTCCGGTCCTAGTTCGAGTCCAATTTCGGCATCTAACCAAATCCCATCCATGATCCCAGCTTCACCCCCGATTACTGTCGTGTGTAACAAATCCGATTTGCCTCCAAGTGACTCCCAGGTGAGTGAAAGTGCTATCATGGAATGGTTACTCACACACGGTTTGAAACCATCACAATTTGTCTATGCCAGTGCCAAGACGAACGATGCGATTCTCTCCATTTTCAAATCCCTCTGGGCTCAGAATGAGACAACTAAGTCTATCCAATTGGAACGTTGGGATAGGCATAGAAGAGCCAGTATTATTCGACCACCGACACCTCCGCTCGGATTGCAGACAGATTTTTCCGCTTTACAAGAAGTCATGAGTACTAGTAATGGATCCGGTCAACACGCGGATTCGCCCAGCAGTGATAAGGCGGATCAGCGTACACGGGCTGGGTTTTTTCGAAGCAGTCTTCGTCTGAGTCGACGATCCAGTTCGAAATCGAACAAACACAAGGCTGACATAGTGAAACTGGAATGTGTTCTCTCTTGAACTGTAATTGGCGCTGGATCGCTTTCAATATCACGAACATACACATACACACACATTGTCATTCCGACTGAAAACTCAAATCGGAAGGGATCTCTGTCCATGTAATTACCTCTCGCGTGTTCTCTCTCTCTGTTATTCTGTGTTCTATTCCTCCACTGCCCTCATAAGCGCGATCTCTGTCACCTCCTACTCAGTTGGTTCAATGTGTCATTCTCATTGCTATTCATTCCCG